AAGATATCAGCAATATCAAGAATTAAATAAAGCTCTACATTAAAGTATCTCAAATATGACATGCAATATTTTTATCATGTAGATCTGGTGACAAGGAACACAACAAAATTTGTTTCAACAAATTTGGAGCCATTTTGAGCAAGTTATAAATTCCCAAAGCATTTAAATAAAAATCTAAAAATCATTTCTTAAATCCTTTCTGAAAATCCATGTTCAAAACTGCTAGATCCACCCGGCTTTCTACCCAGGCGTGCATCCCTACGGCTGACAGTGGCCTCCGCAGGTCAGCCGGCCCCACCTGCCTGCCCCTGAGGCAGAGGAGGCTGCACTGACCGGCATGAGCTCGCCGTCGGTGAGGTGGCCGGCGATGAGGTCACCACCAACATGACCACCTTGCCAAGGCGAACACGTCAGTGCAAGTGGCAGGGTCGGAGGAGCTCGAGAGCGAGCTGGCCAGCGGCCATGGCGGTGCGGTGGTGCGGCTCACTGACAGCCGGCCATCTCCGGCCGAGAAGGGGCGTGAGAGGTGGCGCGGGAGCTTTACCGAGCTCGTGTGGTGCTCGTGCGCGTGAAGGGAGAGCGAGAAGGAGGACAGAGGGGCGAGGTCCACGGAGTGGAGCACTCAGGCGAGCTCGGCCACGACTCCAGCGAGAGATTCCTGGGGAAGGGGAGCTTATCATGGCTTACCGAGGCGAGCACGAGGTACGCGAGGAGGAGGCGAGGCTCAGGGCAAGATGGAGATGGCTTAGGCGAACTGGAGCAGCCGGAACGGCCAACTCCGTCGAGCTGCTGGTGCGGGCGGTGGCGGAGGCGAGCGCTGCGGTTGCTGCTAGCGCTGACGGAGGCGAGAGAGTGAAGTGGAGTGAGGAGGAGTGCAGCGCGGTCGGGCAGGTGTAGGCGCGACAGCAGGGGCGCGGCACGGAGGTAGGCTGGGCCGGCCTGTGCGGTTGGGCCGAAAGCGAGGCGGCGGCCCATTAAAGGAAAAATGAGATTTTTCAAACTATTTTCAAATTCTTTTTCATTCAAACGAAATTTTGAACTATTTCAAAGCAGTTTCAAAAGTTGGTGTAAAAATGCAAGTTGTTCCATTTTTCAAGATCTACAACTTTGCTTTTATGACCAAAGTCAAATTCCAAATAGATTTTGAATTACCAAATTAAACTCAATATTAATTCAAAACCCTAATCTTGAATAATTATTTTTAAAAGGAAAATTTGGCAAAAATTTAAATATAAACTTTGCTCCAAATTGTATCCTAAATATTTATAAGCTATCCTAGTGATCAAGACAAGACTTCATGGCATCCAAACATGAGCATGGCATTTCACATTGTTTTAAACATAATGAATTTCAATCAACTTAAGCACCACATGAAATGATACTTCATTTCTTTTGAAATGAAATGCATGCATGATGCTTATGCATGAGGTGATGATGATTATGCTCATGGGATGAAATAGTAATGCACGCTTAACACCGAGGTGTTACAGCCTATGCCCAAGTAGTCCGCGCTTACGCGAGGAGCTTGATCTCTGCGACCGAGATGATAGGCTACGAATCCGTGATCCGCATCCACGGAAGCTGAACCACATCCACCACGATTGCGATGGTGGCACTGGCCCCTAACGCAGCAACGGCAGCCGTGGCGGGCTAGTCATGCGATAGCTTCAACACCCGCGCGGGGAAGTACGGCGGATGCGCGGCCATGCCTAAAGCCCACCTGTGGTGGCGGCAGCAAACACGGCGACCCGCGCATGGGAGCGCTGTGGCGGGGTCCTAATCCACAGTGGCGGCGCCCTAATCTGCGCAATGGCAGTGCACGCAGCCGTGGCTAGCCTAATTCCGCGATGGATTCGGCGGCTACCCTTGATGTGCGTTGGCGTCATGATGCGCTGCGTACCATGGTTGGTAATCTATGAAGCTCATTGATTAGGGCTTCGATTTGGGCAAAAATTGTGAATTTCATGATCTAGGGTTTCGGGAATTTGAGGAAAAGCTTCAATTTGACCATGATTTGCGAATTCCCCTCCTTCTGCTTGCTAATCAGAACCCTAGTGGCTTAATCCGCACTGTCTTAACTTAAGACATCATCAATTAGGCATGAACATGGCTAATCTGGGAACAAATAAGGATTAATTTAGGCATAAAAAGCATTGATCTGTGACTAATAATGATGATTAACTAAACCTAGGCCCTCAACATGCAAAATTAGATTCAACCCGAGATGATTACCCATAACCAGAGACTTAATTGTCTTAGAGCATGACTAATTAGGTCTTAGAACATTATCAGCCCGTCTAATTAGGCATAATAGTAAGTAATTAGGACAATAATTATTTAATTTGACCTCAAATTAATATAAGCTAAGGCGTAAACCACTTCTTAGGGTTTCACGAACTAAATCAGCCGGCTCTGATACCACAATATTAGATAAACAGGACCTTAAGCAACAGGATCTCTAATCTAGTTGATGTGATCACATTAGTGGATTGATGGCTAACCATAATCTTCACGGTAGTCTGTCATTGGTAGAGGTTGTTGAGGGATCGATGGAGTCGCCTTCCTCTTCTCTGCAGCAGGAATGTCGATGAGGAAGGCGGTAAAGAAGATGTCGATGTCCTCTGGTTGTTGGTGAGGAAGAGGAACAACAGTGAATTGCGGTAGCCTTCCCGTCACTTTAGCGCCCTTAGTAATCAGATCTTAGGAGAGAATGGAATTGGCTGTAGTCCACACGGAATGTTGGTTCTCCAGGAGTGGAAGCCGCCTCTTATTAGCACTGCATGACGAGAAGCCACAACCTCGTAACGTTAAGGTACCCACGATTACGGCACATACGGGAAAAGATTCCCCGTCGATTGACTCAGCCTTAGACACGATTAGGTCATTGGCCCATACATGTCCATGGGTTTGAGATCACTTATTCCAACAGTTTGGTCCTGCAGCTGGGATGCCCGAGATACCAGCTAATCCGAGTAGAACTTATCTCCTCCGGCCAAACAATTATTTTGTGCAAAATCCTTTGTTGATCGCTCCTTCCCAGCCTCTTATTTGGTTTCTTTTGTCTCCATAATACGTATGCTCCAGCCTGCATCAAAGTGGCGTCTGACGTCCATGCTGCACATGTTTCTCACTGTATTTCTTCACCAGCGCCATCCTTAATCCTCGCATAATCTCTTCTTCTTTCATTAGCTCCTACAACTTGATATCCAAATGCCAAGTCGCACCAGCTAGCACATGCTGATCCATAAGATCTCCACGTTTTTATGGCATGTTCAGCAGGACTGAAAAATAAGTCAACATACTGTTCCAGCTGATTGTTGTGAGAGAAAAAATACTGTTCTGCCTAAAATCACTGTTCACGTAAACAGTGATTCGTGGAGGGACTGCCCAGCCAGCCAGCCGAACAGCCCCTTATGCTCCTTATACATCCTGCTGATCGAGTCGCTAACAGACTAATCACAGTACTTGTTAGCAGCCGGTCACAAATTAAATCAGCCAATGGAAATATTACAATAGCATACAGACAGGTATTGCTAAAAACCAAATTTAACAACAAGGTTCCGTTCGCTTGTCTTAAATTTGGTTTGTTCGACTTATTTTTTCAGCCGGAACAGTGTTTTTCTCTCACAACAATTCAGCCCGAACAGTGTTTTTCAGTCAGTTTCAGCCAAAGTTCAGACCAACGAACGAGGCCAAATGCATGTTGCACATATTTCTCGCTGTATTTCTTTATTACCAGCGCCATCCATAATCCACGCATAATATCTTCTTCTGTCTTAGCTCCTACAGCTTAATATCCCAAACGCCAATTTCGCACCAGCTTGCAGTTGCTAATCCAGAAGATCTCCATGTCTTTTTGCTCCTTATATATCCTGCTGCTCGAGTAGCTAACAAACTAATCAAAATACTTATTAGCAGTCGATTTACATTGCTCACAAATTAAATCAGCCAATGAAGATATCACAATAGCATATGGACAGTTATTGCCAAAAACCAATTTAACAAGCCAACCAAATTATACTATCAACATAATCCTTCAAGGAGCTACTGAGTACTCCCTCTATCCCAAAATAAGTATACATTTCGCATTTCGGCAAGTCAAAATAAATTCTAAGTTTAACAAAATATATATAAAAATGTATTTATATTTATAATTCCAACAAACATTATTAGATGAATCATATCATATATTTTATAGCAAACTTATTTAAAGATAATAATGTTAATATTATTTTTTTTTAAATCTAATTAAACTTAAGAATGTTTGACTTTTCAAAAAGTGTGAAATGTACTGTACGGTTTTTTTTTTGACAGGGAGTGGCACGAGCTGCTATCCTAAGGGCGTGTTTAGATCCAAATTTTTTTGGATTTTGGATACTATAGCACTTTCGTTTATATTTGGTAATTAGTGTCTAATTATGGACTAATTAGGTTTGAAAGTTTCGTCTCGTGATTTCTCACCCAATTGTGTAATTAGTTTTTTTTTTCGTCTACATTTAGTACTCCATATATATACTATAAGATTCGATGTGATGAATACTGCGTAATTTTTTTTTAATCTAAACGGGGCCTAAATTGAGCTCCCGAATTCCACGTACTAGCAGATGCTTGCCGACATTCATTCGTACCTGCCATTGTATACAATCATCATCCTCTTCGAGAAGAACCTGGAGCGTACGTGGCACCACCGACACGTCTCACTCTTATCTTAATTTGGGCCCCAATTAATTTACTATAGCTGTGGCTTCCGAGCGGCTCGTGGCTGCACACGTACCCACTCTTGGTTGATGTCCCAAAACCATTCTCTAATTCTCGCTGCAGTATAAAATGCTGCCTGGGGCTGCACATCACAATTCGATCGCACTCCAAGAACAAAGCTCGTGGCACTAGACTTGAAAAACAAGTACTCTAGCTGGCCAGAGAGAAATCAACGAGTGATAGCATGGAGCACCAGGGGCGCCAGCACGACCACACCAGGGACACCACTGTCATGGCAGGCCATGGTGAGGCCGGTGCAGGCGGACAGTTCTAGCCCGCCGCTGCTGAGGAGCACAGGAGCCGCGGTATCCTTCATCGCTCCGGAAGCTCCAGCTCCAGCTCCAGCTCGGTATGTTTCTTTTGTTTCCTATAATATAATGCAACATGTTCGGTCTTGAATAATCCATCGCGTGTATGTGCACTAACTGACTGTCTTCTGTAACTTAATATTTGCCGATCATATCGTACGTGCAGTCATTTGAGGACGATGGCATGGGCGGTCGGAGGAGGAAGAAGGGGCTAAAGGAGAAGATCAAGGAGAAGCTCCCCGGCGGCCACAAGGACAGCCAGCAGAACCAGGCGGCAGCGACGGGTGGAGCCTAGGGGCAGCAGGAGCACGCTGGCATGACCGGCGAAGAAGGGGCTCATGGAACCGATGGCACCGGCGGCGGCCATGGAGAAAAGAAGGGTCTCATGGACAAGATCAAGGACAAGCTTCCTGGCCACCACTGAGCTACTCTCCCTTGATATCCTACTGTCGAAGTTGCGCTGCGCCATATGGACCTTTGTCGAATAATGGGAGCTGAACGCGCACATCAAAACTTTGTCCTCCAGCGCGATTTTACCTGGGTGCTCTGTATTGTCTGGCCGTATATGTGTGTGTCTGATTCTGTACATGTTCGTTGTATTGTTCTGCATTCACATATATAATAACTATACTACATATGTATACGATTACCATGCGCATTGGTTGTCTACATAGTACGTACGAACCAGCGGGAATCTTCGCGTCCGACTAGATGGCCGGCGTGCAGTTTATCTTCCTCCCTCTGCGCGAATTGGACCAACGCGTCCCAGAAGCCCATCACCGTGTCTGTGCCTCCACCCGAGCTCGCCGGCGCCGCTCTCGTCTCCCATCTCCGGCGCCCCCACCTGAGCGCGTCGGTGCCGCCCTCGTCTCCATCTCGGACAGCTCTCCCACTTCCTCGTCTCTAAACTCCGGTGGACTTGCAAGGAAAGGGGTCGGGGACAGGCAAGGAGAAGCCACTGGAACTCATCCTACCGAGTTTGAAACTGTGCAAATGTAGCAGCAGTCTTCTATGTCTGGCGAGCCTAATCCTGCCTTATCTGCTCAAGTATGGCAAGTAAAGCGGGGTCTGTCTGCGGTGCAGGTGGAGCTGAACTGGAGCTACCGGCCTCATGGTCATGTCGACGTGCAGGCATCTGAGGAATGTTCCGGTAGTCCTCGTCTGAGCTGTCGCTGGGGTCGCTCTTGACCATCCCCTCCTGCTGAGCAAGCTCCTCCTTTGTAGCTGCAATACCCCTGATAATATCATCCTGCTGGGCTACAGTCTCTGGCACCTCTGGACGATGGCGCGGTTGGCTAGGTGTTGTAGGTGTACTGTGCCGGATCATCTGAGTTAGGTTATAAGTAGGAAACTCTATGGTAGCACTACTGTACTCAGCTAGTATCTTAGGCGGCCTCATTGTCACTGCCCTGAGAATAAGAAACGTGATCCAATGGGCATAGGGCAACTGTCGATGACCTCTGAACCCCTCAGCAATAGTATCCTCCATCTCTGATAGAAGGAGATCTCAAATGTCAAATACGGTCTGCTGCATCAGGGAGTTGAGAAGCCATAGCTGTAAGCAAGTCAAGCCCTCGCGATACCCCATCCTCGGAATAAGGGTCCTCCTCATAATGGCATCCAGCACTCTAGTTGTAGAAGTGAGATTACTAGGAGTGCTGCTCGACCCCTCGCTAAAAGGCTCCTTGAAGCAGTGGCGGACAAGATCTGTAGGAGGAATCATACCGCCATGAGGGCGTCTAGGAGGTACCATCTGTCCATAGCACACCTCATGTAGCCTGATAGGCTGCTCCTGAAGCCTGAGAATCTCCCTGACCCTAGTGCTCGTCAGCCGGTAATCTCTGCCTCTGAATGTAAAGTGAATATATCTGTGCTGCGGATCAATCTAGAGAGTAGCATAGAACTGACGGACCCAAGATGGAATATACAAGCCTGTCCGTCCAAGTAAATATGTCAGTCCTGGTAAGTAAGATAAGTACTGGCGAATGTGCTCTCCGGCTGCTGCTACTATGGAGTCAATGTGGCACACCCTCTGAGATCTGAATACAGCGCCACTGTTAAGATATGCATTATAGAAATCATCCTGCAGTGGTGTGTAAAAGCCCTCTGAAGCTCTGTCATCCCTCCTCGACGGGAACCACTACTCAAAGTCCACAAACCTGAGCTGCTGCACCTGTTTGGCCGTGGCGGCCCTCAAGTCCAAGTGTCACTGGGGGCAGACTCTGTGGTCTAGGCGGTGGACGAGAACCCCTCCGTTGTGTTTCTGCCCTCGGTGTGACTAGAGTACGGGTACGACTAGAGCGGCGAAGCTGTGGCTGAGGTGCCTACTCTGTCTCCTTGGCCTTGGTCTGTTGTCCCTCCTGAGTCTGCTCTACTGGCTGTGGCTGCTGCTGTGACTCCCCCTGAGGCTGACCCTCATCAATAGCATGATGCTGTCCTACAACCATGACAGTCCCAGCTGGACCACCATGACGGCGCTCAACTTCCTCAAGTGTTTCTCTTGTCGCTGGTGGAAGCTGCTGATCTACAAAAACCACTCCACTGCGAGCACCTCCTCTCTTGGCACGCTCTACGGCCTCTGCAACCATGGCTGCTCTAGCTGTCTGCATCTGGGTACTTGTGCTTCTTTGTTGCAATCTTCTTCGTCGCCTTGCCTTTTGGATCAGCAGGCAAGTGAGGCGGACGCCTCGGATCCTCATCTCCTAGACCACCTCCGGCGTTCTTCACACGAGTCATCTGACAAGAGCTACTGCCTCTGACAAAAAACAACTGTCGACTGTCACTTTCAAGGCTTGGCCTCGATCCGTACTCGCGAGCTTGGCCCCGAGTTGACTGACAACTGCAAATAGGACCTCAACGGCACCAACTCGCTGCACGATAGAATAGATAGGATATACAAATAATTTTAATTATTCATCTAGAGATGCAAAACCCTAAGAAAGCAAGTAATTAGGTACGAAATTGAAACCGAGGGCTTGCTACCTGACAAACCGTCGATCCGAGGCGAAGAGAAACGGTGTGCGGGGAACCACCGAATCGCGAGGCTAGGGTTAGGGTTTGGCTACGCATAGCGGCACTAGAGGCTTTGCGGCGTGGAATCAGTTAGGCACTGAAGCTAGGGTACAGCAGGGGCACGGTGGCGCTGGCAAGGGAGCAGGGCGGCGCGGCTGCTATGGAGTTCTGGTGTCGGCGGCGTGGACTGGAGCGGCGCTGGAGATGGCGGCTCGGGCACGGCATGAGCAGTGGAGGCGCGGGGAACTGCGGGCGGCCCGCGAAGCTTACAGAGGCGATGTACGGGCGTGGGAGGCTGCAGCTGCGGTGGCATGGGAAGGCTGGCGCGGTGGCTTGGCGAGGTTGCAGGGGCGGCGATGTCGGCGGAATAGGTCAAGGACGCCCGGCGGCTCGCAGTTATAAGGGTCCCCGACGGAGTTGGATAAGGAAAGAAGAATAGAGATTGAAATCCGCACGACTCCTATTGACCAGACGCTCCGGTGGCAGCGACCGAACGCTGCCACCCAGCGTCCGGTCGATTTCAGAGAAGTCCAAATCTCCTGGAATCACGACCGGACGTGTCCGGTGGACACCGACTGAACGTAGCCAGAGTCCGGTCACCTCGCTTTGATGCCTTCTTGCTCGACCAGACGCTGAAGCTCCATATGATTGGACGCTGGGAAAACACTGTTTCAGCGTTCGGTCACTCCTTCTCGGCAGCTATTCACCTCCTATTAACTGACCAGACGCTGGACATCAGAGTATGGTACAGTGTCCGGTCACTCTTTCTTCAGCAGATCTTCAATGTCTTTCGTGCTGCTTGTTCCCAATCAAGTCCCAACTCAAATAAGATCCAAATAAACACCAATTGGGACTGATGTGAGTGACCTCTTTTAAACTCTCATGTTTTTCAAAAATATTTTGCCTTAGGCTATAATTCTTTTTAAGAAAATAGTCAATAAGAGGGCAATTGAAGATAAACGACAAACAACATTCATGCATATGTAATGCAATACTTGAAAGTAAATCTAGTTGCTTGTCAAGTTTGATCCAAGGTTAAGCTTCTTCACACGCTTTTCGGTGGTTATCTTAACCATATTAGACAAGCCCTATATGCATTACCAAACATTAAACATGTTGTATATTATAATGCAATGCAAGGGACAACACAAGCTCATCTTTCAGTAAAGTTGCTAAAATCAAGAACATTGAACTCATTCCGCAATCTACAAAAAGTTGCCTCATCTAGTGGTTTAGTGAAGATATCCGCTAATTGATCCTCGGTCCTTACACCTTCTAATGATATATCATTCTTTGCAACATGATCTCTAAGAAAGTGATGGCGGATATCTATGTTCTTGGTGTGAGAGTGTTGAACCAGATTGTTTGCAAGTTTTACCGCACTTTTATTGTCGCACAAAAGAGGTACTTTTTCTAGAACTACACCATAGTCTAGCAAAGTTTGTTTCATGTAAAGTATTTGTGCACAACAAGCACCCATGGCAATGTATTCCGCTTCGGCGGTGGACAAGGCCACACTATTTTGCTTCTTGGAGGACCAAGACACAAGTGATCTACCAAGCAAATGGCACCCTCCGGATGTGCTTTTCTATCAACTTTGCACCCAGCATAATCCGAATCAGAATAGCCAATTAATTCAAATCTAGCTCCTTTGGGATACCAAAGGCCAATGCTTGGTGTGTGCTTAAGATACCTAAGGATTTTTTTTATAGCAATTAAATGAGTTTCCTTAGGATTAGCTTGAAATCTAGCACACATACACACACTAGACATGATGTTGGGCCTAGATGCGGTTAAATATAACAAGCTACCAATCATAGAGCGGTAGAGAGTTTGATCAACCGGGGTACCTCCCTCATCTAGGTCGAGATGTCGATTAGTTGGCATTGGTGTCTTGATTGGTTTACATTCATCCATCTTGAATCTCTTGAGAAGATCATTAGTATATTTCTCTTGAGAGATGAAAATCCCTTCTCTCATTTGCTTGACTTGAAAACCAAGAAATAATATAAGCTCTACAATCATTGACATCTCGAACTCCTTTGACATCAATTCACCAAATTCTTTGCAAGAATCTTCATTTGATGATCCAAAGATGATATCATCAACATACACTTGACAAATGAAGATATGCCCATCAAGCTTCTTGGTGAATAGTGTGGTGTCGACCTTTCTAATGGTGAAGCCCTTCTCAATGAGGAAGTCCCGAAGGCGCTCATACCAAGCTCTTGGGGCTTGCTTAAGCCCATATAATGCCTTGGACAACCTATAAACATGATTAGG